CACCGTGGGCCCGTGCACCGCCCCCCCCCTCTTTTCCCGTCGCCTGTCGAGGCGACCTGAGGGGGCCGCCCTGGGGGGGGGGGGCGAGCGCCGCCCCTTCTGCCGCCTGTTTTGGCGCCCTGGGAGGCCGCGCGTCCCCCCCCCCCCCCCCCCCCCCCGTAACCTCCCTACCCGCCGTCCCGCCCTGCCCTGTGTTAGGGTCTGGGGGTGGCGAGTGGGGGGTGGCGGGTGTGTGGTCTCCCCTGCTCCTCCTCCTCCTCTGTCTCCCACTGCTGCAGCTGCCGCTGAGGGGGGTGGGTGTGTGGGAGTCGACGGAGTGGTGCTAGGGGGTGGGGTGTGAGTGAACCTAGGGTGCAGCAGGGGGTGTGTGAAAGGGGGGTGCTGTGGGAGTGGAGCTAGGGTCTGAGCAGGGGGTGTGTGTCGAGGGTGTGGGGCAGTTGGAGGAGGTTGTGTGAAGGTAGCTGTCGTGTCGCCTGCAGCGCCTGTAGTCCGTCGCCCTTGCTTCGGTAGCCAGTGAGCCTGTTGCACCAGTCGCCAGTGGGTCCGTTGCTCCTGCCGCTCGTCTATAGCCGCGGAGCCAGTTACTCCAGTAGTCCGTCGCCCTTGCTTCGGTAGCCACTGAGTCAGCCGCTCCTGTGCCCGTGCCTCTGCAGCTTCAGTCGTTGCCTCCCATCTTCTCTCCCTCCACAGTTCCTCCTCCTCCTCACTTGCCCGCTGTGATTAAATCTAGCTTTGCTCGCTATTGTGAACTCCTGCTCTCTGCCTGCTTGCTCACTGTGCTGATTATACCCCACTTTGGCTATGGGGGTGTGTCAGAATGTTATAATTGTCTAGCCTGCAGTGGGGTACTCATATAGCGAGTACAACCCAATTAGGGTTTCCTATATGTATGCCATCTGCTGCTAGTGCAACCCCTCTTCTTCCATTCCTCATTTCTTCACACTCCGCCGACATTCAGCCGCATGGTGATCCCTGGAACACCATCAACTGGGGCAATGAGCCATCGATCCCGCGTCGCGCCGTCTATAGACCCAATCCTGAGCCACGCGAGCTTACGCTCGTCCCGGGAACAATACCTGAGACCAACTTCTCTCTCTCAGTTATCCCCATTAGGGAATTCCTCACGCTGATGCTGACGACGGCGAACGACGAGACGGCGGAAGCAGAAGCACCAGCGGCGCCAACTCCCCTTCCTGAAGAAGCCCCTGAGTGGTGTGCGCGCGCTATATGCACACCTCCAGACTGCGAGCATCTGGCAATCTGTAGCACCAGCGCCTCGGTCATCCCTCGCGCGTGACCATGAACAACTGCATTGAGGCAGGATTTTTCGCACCTGGCGCACTTCTGCGCCCTGACGGCTCCGGAATCATACACCACATCATAGCTGTGCACCTACACCGTCTGCCCCGAAGCCGCGCTGAGCTATCAGCCGTTCTTGCTGCTGGAACCAGGAACCAACCGCTACCCCAAGCTACCCAAGGTATACAACGATTTCCTTGTTGTCAACCACTATGGGCTTAACGATGAAGGGTATACGCTTACCTTCGTGGATGCTAGAACCCGTTATGTGTGGATCGCAAGCGTACAATTCCGCAATAGGGCGTACGAAGTTTTTCGCCTCTGGCTTGCTGATGCGCAACGACAATCAGGGAAGAAGCTGCAAATCTGGCAGACTGACGGCGCAGCAGAATTTTGCAGCAAGGAGATGCAGGACTACCTGGGGCAGAAAAGGATATCGCACCATATCTCCCTCCCTATGCGAATCCGCAGCAGGGCGTTGCTGAGTGCACTAATCGCACCCTCATGACCAAGATGCGCGCGCTACTGAAGCAGTCCAAGCTTCCCGCAACATACTGGCCGTACGCTGTGCACCACGCCGTGCGGGTGCACAACCTTCTTTCCACCATTGCTATCACGGGCAACCTATCGCCGCACGTAAAATGGACGGGCAAGAAAGGCGACACCTCTATGCTCCGCGTGTGGGTATGCATGGTGCAGTACCGCCCTCCTACCTCAACCATCGGCAAGTTTACGAGCCGCGCGCGCTGGGGCATTCACCTTTGCATTAGCTACGAATTCAAGGCCTTCATAATTCTTAACCGGCTCAGCAACAAGGTGACGCACACGAGCGACTCAACCTCGCTTAGTACCGCGTTGACGAGAAGGCGGGCACACAAACCTCGACCAGGTCTACGCGAACGATGGGCGCAGCTATGCTACTCCTAAAGACCAGGCTTTCGCTGCCATCCTAGACCAGGACAACACCAGTGAATTTCCAGAGATTGATCGCCACGGTGATGATGATGACGACAACGAGTTGCCTCCTAGAGAAGCGGGAGGAAGCAGCAGGGACCCCGCGCCACCATCTCCGCCTGAGCCAGAGAGCGACGATGACGACGTACAGGAGTTCGTCCCATAGCATCGCCATGACACCACCGTCTCTGGACTGCAACTGCTGGGACTTCAAACAGCCACCTCCACTGTTCCGCGTGTGATTGAACCCAAAAATCCGCAACGGGCGCTGACGGGTTCTCACCGCAAGGAATGGCTCGCCGCCATGGATGCGGAAATCAAAGCGCTCGAGCCCCGCGACACTTGGGTGCTCGTCGATCGAGCAGCAATCAAAGGAAGGCGAATCCTTCCGGGCAAGTGGGTGTTCCGCCTTAAAACTGCAGCAGATGGGACTATCGAGCGCTTCAAGGCGCGCTGGGTCGTACGTGGTTACGACTAGAGGCACGGCATAGATTTCGACCATACCTTCTCTCCGGTCAGCCGCCATACCTCCGTGCGAATTTTACTCGCGATCCCTATATCAAGGCACCTCCCGCTCCGCCAAATCGACGTGAGAAACACGTTCATGTACTTGTTAGTAGGAGCGGTGATTTCTGTGGAGCAGCCGCACACTTACGGAGAGGGTGACCCGTACGTGTGTTAGTTGAAGAAGTCGCTTTACAGGATCAAAAAAGCACCAAGGCTCTGGTAGCAAGCACCTGCACAAAATCCTACTCGTAATAAGATTCACGCGGCTACCGCACGACCCCGAGATGTATCGCCTTCATTTCTGTGCCGATTACATCCTGCTCACCGTGTATGTAGATGATTTGCTCTACACAGGATCGAGCAACACGCTGCTCGACCAATTCGAGGAGAACATGGCGATGCGCGTCGACATCACCACTAATCACGATGCGAAGCAGTTCCTGGGCCTTAATATCTCCTACGCGCTAGAGGCCATTCACCTCTCAACTGCTTAGTATGCTGAAACATTTGAGAGGCGGTTCAACATCTCTCCTACACCACTCTCCACTCCTTAGCGCACGCCTGGACCGAACCACAAACCTGACAACCAAGCTCTATCTCCCGCAGGCCTTCAGACTTACCAGCAGCAGCTCGGATTCCTGCTCTTTGCCTTAGTAACCTACAGGCCAGATCTCTCGTTCATTGCGAGCCAGCTGGCTCAGTAGTCGCGCAAACCAACGGCTGAAAATCTTCTAGATCTTCAACGCGCCCTGCAATTCTTCATCTCCACGCCCAACATTGGGCTCTGCTACTCTACAGTCGCAACTCTCTCATTTAACCTCATCGGATACGTGGACGCCGATCATGTAGCTGGCCCCGACAATCAACAGTCCATAACTGGGTTCCTGTTCCAGCTCGAGCCAACAGGGCCCATCTCCTGGAACTCATAGAAGCAGGAACTAGTTGCTCGGTAATCGATGGAAGCAGAATTCATTGCCGTGACAGTAGCAGCTCGCGAAGGGCTCCACCTGCAAGAGCTCATGCAGGAAGTGAAAATCCCAACTTCGCCGACCTTCCACCTGCACTATGACGATCAGAGCGCGATGAGAATCGTCAGCCACGCCAACGTATCGCGCTGTGGTATTTCTTTATCAAGGACGAAGTTGACAAGGGCAAGGTCGATCTGACCCAGTGCCCAAGCGGGTGACATGACCACCGACTTTCTCACGAAGCCACTGCCCCGTCCGAAGTACTAGCAAGTCAAGACTTGCTACGGCGATGAATGAAGGTGATCATGGGCACAATCAACCTTCTGATCGCAAAATAGTACAATACGTAATTTCTATGCCCATATATGTATCTCTCCGTATTGATAAATTATGTTCGCATTACTATATTTCTCATATAAAAATTACCACACTAGAAGCACACAACATTTGAGACTACTTGGAGACCTAGTCATTTCAAGGTATGATGGTATGTGTTTGCAAGTGCACAAACCAGTATGTGAAGACTGCTTGTAGCGAGCGTAGATTCAAGCAACAGCAGCAGATGGCGGGCAAGAAGAGGAGTGGAAGCGCGAGTGTGCGACGCACACCGCCATCGCCATGTATTACTCGAGCCATACCATACCAATTCGTGTTTAGGTGGCCAGGTGTTACGGCGTTACTACGTGTTTACGCGCTCGCTCGAACAAGTCATTTCATGAATAGGTGCTGCGGTGGAGTGGAAGCGTTATGGCGAGCGCGCGTCGGTGCATTCACGGTGCCAGCGACGTTGCGCGGTGCTCGTCGCTGCTGCGCGCCTCGCCTGCGTGCGCGCACCGTCCTTCCGGCAGCCGTGCGAGCAGCCGCGTGGGCGGCACTGATGCGGCAGCTGCGCGTTTGACGAGGTGCGCCAGAGGCGCGCATTCACGCGCCAGCGCCATCGGCGGCGCCCGCCACTCGCGGACGGATGCGCGGGAAGCTGCTGCGGAGTGATGCGAGGTGCGCCGCCCCTCGCCGCGCGCACCGCACCCACTCTACCCGCCCATCACCGCCCCGCTCCCCCCAACCACGCGTGCGTACTTCGCCAGGACTCGACGCTACGAGCCGAAGCGCGAAAAGCGAAGCGCGTGGCGATCGCTGCCCGTGCGCCCGCCATGACTCGCGCGCACGCGCCGCCAGTGGCGTTGGCCAAGTGGGCAGTGGCGGCGAGCGTCCGTGAAAGGCGGCTTGGCAAAGTGAGTGCGCGGGTGGTGAGTGAGTCCGTGGCAGCATCGCATGCCCATGCACCAAACCCGAGCTCGCACCTTCCTCCACCCTCCTTTCCCTCCACCCTCCTTTCCCTCCCTCCTCCCCCTTCCTCTCCCCCTCCTCTCTCTTTCCTTTCCCCCTTCTCTCCCGCTCCCTTCACCCCCCTTTACTCCTCTTTTCACCCTCCTTTCCCCCTCCTGTCCCCCTCCTGTCCCCCTCCTATCCACCTCCCTCCCGTCTCTCTCTTCTCCCTTTGCTTCCCTCTCCTTTCCCTTTCTTTTGCCCTCATTTCGACCACCCCTTCCTAACCCCCTCCTCTTTCCTTCTTTCGCATCCTATCACTCTCCTTTCCTCTCCACTTCCCCCTTTTTCTCCCTCCGTTCCCCCTTCTTTCCCCCTCCCCTCCGTGCCCCCTCCTTCATCTTCTATTTCCTCCATTTCCCCTCCTTTCCCCTTCCTGTCACCCTCCTATCCACCTCCCGTCCCCCTATTTTCATCTCATTTCCCCCTCCACGCGCCCTGCTTTCCTTCTCCTGTTCTCTTCCTGTCCCCCTCCGTCCAACCACCTTCCCCTCAGTTCCCCATCTTCCTCGAAACCCCCTCCTATTCGCCTGCCTGTCCCCTGCTTTCACTTCTCACGACTTCTTTTCCTCCATTCCCTCTCCCCTCCCCCTCCCATTCCCCCGTCCACTCCCCTCATTCCCCTTCCCCCCTCGTTTTACGCTCCTTCCGCCTCATTCACCCTGCCCACTTCAATCCTTTTCCTATTCCACTGCCCTTCTCCTCCGTTCACGCTCACTTTCTTCCTTCCCGCTTCCCCGCTTTCCCACTCCTTTCCCCATCCTTTCCCCCTCCTTCCCCCGTCCTTCCCCCCTCCTTCCCCACTCCTTTCCCCCCCCTTTCCCCCTGCTGTCGCCCGTCTGTCGCCCTCCTCCACCCCTGCTGCCCCCTGCCTGCCGCACGCCTTCTCCCGGGTGCTTGCTTGGGGCAGGCAGAGGGGGCTGCAGGCGCCAGGGAGCAGCGCCATGCAGGGGAGGCCATGGGCGGCCATGCACGCAGGCGTGGGCTCAACGGGGCTCTCCACTCGCGCTGCTCATCCGCCCCTCCTCCCCGCCTGCTGCCCTCTCCCCCCCCCCCCCTCTTTGCTCCTCGCCACACCCCTCCCCGCGCTGCGCCATCCACTCGCCCACCTCACCCTCCACCTCAACGCCTTGCCTGACCCACTTGGGGCTGGGAGTTGCTGCTGCAGCAGGGGGGACAGCAGCAGCACGAGCACTGCATCCCCTCTCACCATGCGCTGCATCACCCACCATGCCACCACCATCAACACCACATGGCAAACACCAACTCTCAACCTGTCACAGCCGTGTTGATGCTTGCACCTGAGTGCACATGGCACTGCCCTGCACTGCCAATCCAATCATGTGCTGCCCTTATCCACAACTCATTGCACGCAACTAGGCTTTCTTCATTCATTCCATCATTGTAATTGCAACGCCACACACAACAAGGCCGCCCCTATCCTATCCTACATTGGGCTTAAGCCTACAGGTGGCGTCATGCCAGCACCTACAGCATTGCTGCTACGGCTACGGTACTTTGCACCCATTTGCACCCATGTCAAGGCAGCACCTATATGGAGTATTGGGCTGTCGTGCACCCATTCCATGCACCCATTTGCAGCTATGCAGTATCGGGCTGTCATCATGTTGCCCACCACTCCCAACTCTCCATCCACGTTATTCCCACCCTGCCTGCACCCGTCCTTGAAGCTTGCAGCAGTGCATTCACACCACAGCACCACACCACACCACCTTTCCCTCACCCCCTAACTTCCAACGGCCACCCACCAACCACACACGCACACTCCCACAAACGCCCTGCTGTGAAGCAGCGCGCAAAAAAGGGCTGTGCCACCGTCGCTCCCCCATCCACGCCACACCCATCCGTCCTCCCCATCGCTCCGCGTTCGCTGCTCTCCGTCTTGCTGTGCTGCGCTGCTTACCTGCCTTTCATTCCGTCCGCCCAACTATGCTGCTTTCCTGCCTGGCATCCCATCCACCCATCATCTCTCTCTGCAAACAGTCCGCAACCCTTTTTTTTTGTAATCTTCATTTTTCTTTCTGTGTTTGCTTTTTCTCCATAAGTCGGAGCAGCCATGACGTTTTTTGCTACGGTATTTTGTTTGTCCTTGTTTTTCTTCTTCCTTTTCTGTCGTCAGAGCAGTCAGGGCCGCCATGGGCGCTTTGGGGTGGCAGAGAGCGCGGCCTTGGCCTTGGGCGTTCTGCGAGGCGGCTTCACGGCAGCTTCGCCTTGCACTCGCCGCACCGGCCTGGGCGCTGCGGCACATCGAGGCCTCGGGATCAGCGTGGGTCCCTCCACGCGCCGAATCGCTGCTGCCGTGTTGCTCGGCTTCGGGATGCGCGACGGGGGGAGCGACATCGTTGATTGCGTTGCTGCTGCCGCCTTGCTGCCACCACCTGACGGGCGTGACAACGCCACCACCAATGCCACCGACGCTGATTCCGTCGCACTGGTTTCCGTCGCGGTTGATTCCGCCGCAGCCGATTCCGCCGCAGCCGATTCCGCCGCAGCCGATTCCGCCGCGGCTGATTGCGGCGCAGCCGATTCCGCCGCGGCTAATTGCGGCGCACCCGATTCCGCCGCGGCTGATTGCGGCGCACCCGATTCCGCCGCGGCTGATTCCGCCGCCGCCGATTCGGCCGCGGCTGATTGCGGGGCTGCACATTCCGGCGCGGCGGAGTCCAGCGCAGCAGTTTCCGGCGCATCCGAAGCGGCACATTCGCACGCTGCGGGGTCCGACGCACCAGTTTCCGAGGATGTGCATTCTGACGCGCCTGACTCCCACGCTGCGCATTCCCACGCACCAGTTTCTGACGCCGTGGCGTCGTGCTTGCATCCCGCGGCGGCGTCAGTGCGATGACCGTTGTTGGTGCTGTCGCTCAGCGGCTGCACGCGCCGTGATGCGCTCGACTTCTCCCCGTCGAGGCTCTTCCAGAAGCTCAGCGCTGCAGAATACGACTCGCGCAATGGGGCCATGCTGAGGTAACGAGAACGCGACCGGGAAGGCTGAGAGGTTCTAGTAGCAAGAACAGAAGCTGTAAGCTGGAGAGTGATGAGAGGAATGAGCGCATGAGGCGGTGCTTTGTAGTGCGCAGGTGCGAGGGTGGCGAGTGGCGAGCGGAGGAGAGGCAGAGCGAGAAGCCTTGGGGTGGTCGGGGAGGGAGTGGAGGAGACAGCAGGGCAGCACGCTGCGTGCGCTGCGGAGAGATCAAGGCCGAAAAACAGTGCCTTGGGATCTTGCTTCGGTGCACTTGGTTAAATTCAGCTTCGCGCGCAGTTCTGTGCGCTGAAACGTAGTAACCCCGAACTGCTCGCCTGAGCTGGTTCGGCCTGACTTGTCGGGCCAAACCACTCACGAGTCGCCCCGTAAGCCTCGCCACACTTCCGAGCCAGACTTTGCCCCTTGGTTTTCGCCTAGCTCGTTCGCGCTGCCTTGCCTCGGTACTTGCAGTGCTACCATATAAACTTGCTGCATGGTAGTTTCATATGCAAAAGGCTTACCTTATGTGAATAGAATTAAATGTCTGCACATTCAACCCATTATCTTAATCAAGTCATATTAAACAGGTGGATTTGATACATATTAAACAATCATTTGAGCTTATAATAGTAATTAATGAATCCTTGTCGTGCTTAAAAGTACGTTTCTAAGGTTTAAAGCCAGCAACTAAAATAGTGACCCCCCTCCCTTGTTAGAAGTTATATCCTTATATGTAACTGTCAAGAAAGGAACTAATGATGTCATTGATGTGATTTGGGGTACATATAACAAACCCTAACTTTTGTACCCCCTAAGATAAACCTCACTAAGGCTACAACATTTGACACACCCCTATAGCCTAAGTGAGGGGTGTCCAGCAAAACCAAAAGTGTATAGTCACAAGACCAGTCACAAAGATACAAAGCTCAGGGTGGATCACAACGTCACCACACATTCTGAGCACAAGCAACAGTGGCCACAAGGCCAGTCCAAGAGTTCACAAGTGTGTATAGCAAGAGTACAAGCAAAGCAAACAGTAAACTCAAGCCTATACACGACTAGAACCTGTGTCAACAAGGCCTAACTGCACACAACACCTCTGGTGGTCACAAGGCGGAAGCGCCTTGGTGAAGATGTCTGCAGTGTTGGCCTCGGACTCCACAAACTCGAAGCGAGCCTGTCCACGTCTCTGCAACTCTCGCAGAAGAAAGTACCTGGCGTGAATATGCTTCACTTTGCTCTCCAGTCGTGGCTCACGACAGAGGAGAATCGACGCGTTGTTGTTGTTAGTGAACAAGGTCGGTGCAGAGCTCGGCCGCTCACCAAGGTCAGCGAGCAAAAACGTCAACCAACGCAGCTCCTGTGCCGCCATGGCACCAGCGTAGATCTCAGCCTCAGCTGTAGAGGTCGAGACCGAAGAGGAGCGCGTGGACCGCCACGAAACAGCTCCAGAACCCAAGCTGAAACAGTACCCCTGAGTAGACCTGTGAGTCTCAGCGTCGTCAGCGTAAGAAGAGTCACAGTGACCAGTAAGTACGACAGGCTGCTGCCCTCCAAGAACTAGCCCCACGCCTGATGTCGTCGCTAGGTACTTCGCCACCCTCACAGCTGCCGTCCAGTGAACAGGACGGTGCCTCCCTGGCGCAACAAAGCGAGCAAGGACGCTGAGAGGGAAGGCGAGGTCCGGGCGAGTACAAGTCATCAGGTACATGAGGCAGCCCACTAGCTCTGCGTAGGGACCACTGGACTCAAACGGCTCGTCAGGAAAGGGTCCAGTGAGTCTGTGGTCAACAGCAAGAGGTGTGCGCTGTACTGTGGAGTGCTGAAGCTCGAACCGCTGAAGGACCTGCTGCACCATGTGTGACTGTGAGAGTGTAATGGTGCGAGCAGCTCTGTCCCTGGTGATCTGCAGGCCAAGGTAGTGACGCAGCTCACCAAGTTCAGTGCACGTGTGTCTCTTTTGCAGTTCGGACTTCACGTCTGCCAAGGCAACCCTGTCAGCAGTGGCGAAAACCAGGTCGTCGACGTAGACTAGAACAAAGAACGGTGTAGAGCCACGACGAACGAACAGCGACGGGTCGGCAGACGACGGCTGAAAACCAAGGTCAGCGAGAGTAGAACGAAGGGTGTTGTGCCACTCACGGGGAGCCTGACGGAGACCGTAGACCGGTCGCCTCAGCCTCCACTGGGTCCCAGGAGGGAAAGTGCCAGTGAAGGCAGAGGGACGACGCAGCCAGACCTCCTCGTGTAGGCTACCCTGAAGAAACGCAGTAGAGAAGTCGAGAGAGTGTAACTCGTAGTCTCTCTGTGCCGCTACGTGCAGTAACACCCGAAGAGTGGCCATCTTCGGGGTGGGCACGAAGGTCTGAAAGAAGTCAACTCCCTCGCGCTGACTAAAACCTCTGGCCACGTAGCGCGCCTTGAAGACCGGAGGAGATCCCGGTGGCCGCTTCACCCTGTAGATCCACATGCCATCGACTACGTTCGCCCCAGGGGGGGGAACCTCGTCGACGTAGGTGCCTGTGGATCTGTAGGAGGCCATCTCCGCGTCCATGGCAGCTCTCCACTGAGAGGCCCAAGGCCCTGACACTGCCTCAGCGTAAGTGCGAGGAGTCGGTATGTCAAGGGCGTCGGGGTCTCCCTCAGGGGCAAGTAGCATGGCACAGAGATGAGGGGAAGCGGCTGCCAGGAACTCTAGCTCAAACTGCCTGTCCTCTAGGGCGTCACAGCCAAGGGCAGACACACCCCCGACGGCCAGAGGACTGGAAGGAGGAGCAGCCACAAGACTGGTGGCGAAGTCAAGGCGGCGAGCAGAGGCAAACTCAGTGACTGCGGCAGTAAGAGCGGAGACAGAGGACACGGAGACACGAGGGTGGGTAACAAGAGAGGCGAGAACACGAGAGAGAACAGGACGGTACGTGCGGTAGTAGTCAGTGACAGGATTAGAAAGCGAAGCAGTGAGGGCCGACTCAGGAGGAGACGGAAGCACAGACGGAGACGGACGAGGCCGACTAGAACGAAGTAAGGCAGTACGAAGGTCAGTGAAGGGAACAGGGGACGAGGGACGAGCACGAGGGGAGCGACGAGAGGCCCAGGTCTGAGAAGGAGGAGGGGACAACGAAGACTGAGAACAAGGGAAACAGCTGGAGAGGGGTCAGGAGGAGGAAGCGGAGGACCCGAGACGGGAGGAGAGGGGGAGGAGGAAGGAGAGCGGGAGGGGAGGCCGAGGGCCCGAAGACCGGAGACAGGAGGAGGAGGCGGCGGCTGCTGCTGCTGCTGCTGCGGCGGCGGCGGCGGCTGCTGCTGCTGCTACTGCGGCGGCTGCTGCTGCTCCTCCTGCTGCTGTAGCGGCTCCAGCTCCTGCGCCTCCTGCTGCTGCGGCGGCTCCACTCGCGGCTGCTGCAGCTGCTCCTGCTGCTGCTGCTGCTGCTCCTCCAGCCGCTGCAACTCTCTCTCCTCTCTCTCCAACTCCAGCTGCTCCTCACGGGCACGGCGAACACGAGCCTGGTGCCGGGTCGGGTAGGGGTGGGGGGGAGGAGTAGTGTCGGGGGCTGCGGCAGCCCCGGGACCGCCCTCCAAAGCACCTGGCGCACCACCCCTAGAGTCAGCACCACCAACAGCAACACGACCAGGCTCACCAGGACCCGAAGAGGGTGCACCCGCACCCCCAGACGTAGCACCTCCAAAGTCAGCAGGATCAGCACCAGCTCCCGGAAGACAAGAGTCTCCTGCAATCACGGGCTCAGCTCCAACTCCAGCACCCCCATATCTAGCACCTGTAGGGCCTTCTCCACGAGCACCGGCTCCCACAGGGTCTGTAGCAGGTTGCGAGGAGGACTGCGGGGAAGGAGGCTGCACCTGAGGGGCAACCGAGGGGGGAGGGGTAGCCTGGGACACACCTGACGGGGCGGGACCAGGGGGGGGAGGCTGTACCGGGGGAGCAGGAGGGGGAGCGGAAGTCAGGAAGAGAGGGGGAGGAGGAACCGGGAGACCTCGACTGGGGTACCTGACGTAGTAGGGGGTGGACTCCTCGAAACGAACGTCACGGGAGTCAAAGAACCGGTGGGAGGGAGGGTGGTAAAAGGTGAAGTCAGAGGAGTCCTCAGGGAAACCAAGGAAGACACAGGGAACTGTCAAACTCGTATGCTATAGTCTCTGTAGGCTGTAGTGGGGTAGCTCATATGGGGTACAACACTTTAGGGTTTCCTACTTGTACTCCTCATGCTGCTCAATGCAATCATTCCTGCTTGCTATCTTGACATGGTTTCAGAGCAGTAGGTCCGTCGGACCGGTTTTTTTTTTCGGGCCCACCATACTTAGCTTCCGACTGCGGTTACCGCGTTACCCCACTACCCTGCATCGCACTACCTCGCGCATGCCCTTCCCTGCCCTGCGCCAGCGCCCTGCCCTGCGCCAGCGCCCTGCCCTGCGCCAGCGCCCTGCCCTGCGCCAGCGCCCTGCCCTGCGCCAGCGCCCTGGCCTGCGCCAACGCCCTGCCCTGCGCCAGCGCCCTGCCCTGCGCCAGCGCCCTGCCCTGCGCCGGCGCCCTGCCCTGCGCCAGCGCCCTGCCTTGCGACTGCGCCCTGCCCTACGCCCGCGCTGCAGCCCGCGCGTCGCGCCCTACTGCAGCCCGCGCGTCGTGCGCTGCTGCCCCGCGCGTCGCGCTCTGCAGCAGCCCGCGCGTCGTGTCCGCTGCCCGCGCGTCGCGGCCGCTGCAGCCCCGCGCGTCGCGTTCGCTGCCCGCAAGTAGCGTCGCGCTGCAGCCCCGCGCGTCGCGGCCGCTGCCAGCGCATCGCGCTGCAGCCCCGCGCGCTACGGATGCCATCCTCGCGCAGCCCGCTGCGGGCTCGCGCGCCGCGCCCGCAGCTCGCGTCGCCCGC